TTGTAAACACGGTAACAGCGTAAGCGAGATTAAGTTTGCTTACACGTACTTTGGAGAGGAGGGGGGGGGGGTTTAGAGACGCGGGAGGTCAGACTAACATATACTGAGGACGCAAAAGCAAAACCATCTTTCGAATTTTAAATTACAATAGTACTTCGCGTGTTACGAGCCGGGATATCTCAGTCAGTATAGTGACTAACTACGGGCTGGACGACCGGGGTTCGATCCCCGACGGGGACAGTGGATTTTTCCTCTAGCCTCTGGGAGGTCCACCCAGCCTCCTATTCAAAGGGTACCGGGGTCCTTTCCCGGGGGTAAAGCCGGCCGGGGCGTGATGCTGACCACTCACCCCCATCTAGTGCCGAGGTCAAGGAAGAGAGGAGCTATACCTCCTCTCCCCCCAAACGCCTACATGGCGTATAGTGGGACAAACTTTACTTTACTTTACTTTACTTACACAGTGCTCCAGATAATTCGACGCTGCCACAATTATATATTTTTTCCTGACGTCCTCTTCGGAACCCTCTCTCCTTAAAATATCTTTCGATCAAAGAGTACTCTGCCCTTCTTTCGTCTTTCTCAGTTTGCATCCTTGAAAACTCTTTTATATTCAACCTGTCTCGCTCTGTGCCTTCCATTCCCTATTTATCTTCACTTTTCTTTCCCCTCTTCTTTATTTCTTATCTTCTTTCCTTTCTCTCTCCGCTCCTTCTCACAAATTCGGGTCGCCATGGCGCCTCAAATTTTGTGTTGGGATATACTTTCAAAAGTGCAGAATGATTTAATGTTGGCTAGAATCGGTACCTTGTTACATGTATCTGAAATCGAAACGAACAATTTTTTTTTCTAAAACAGTTTATTACATAAAATATAAATCACATTAAGATCTACTATTTTTATTTGCAACACTTCGATGTTGCAAAGATGTAACGAAAAAAAAAAGCTAAGTAATTTTGTCCCTGTTGGCGTCACTAACTTAACAAAACTCAAAAGTACAAAAAGTGTTGTGGCCTCTGGTGGTATTTTTTTCGTGCTCAGTTATATCAAAATTAGTTCCTTGATTATTCGGAGAAAAATTCACATAAGCCTAATTTTCTTTACGTCATGACCGCAGGTAAACGAGAGTTGACTATTTAAAACTGTGGAACGTAAGAGATGGCAGCTGAGGAGAATTAATTGCCTTCTATTCTGACCATATCCTTGAAACTACTGGGCAATCAGCGTTACCAGAGGTGACGTGTTATTACATTATATGCAAAGGCCTTTCTTTGGCCCATACAGTGAGGACAAGTGTTGGCAACATCATCGACAGAGGTTCGGTCATTTTTAAAACGTGAATGCCACACAAAAGTTTGCGGACTCCCCAAATGCTTGCTTTAGGATTTCATAGGTTTCCGTAGCCGTTTTGGCGAGTCTTTGGCAAAATTTGATGCACACGCCATTCCGAAATCGCAGGAGGGTCGGTGTAATGCACTACCAAAACGCCCGTAACTAAGAAACAAATGCTAATTCGATGATGCCGGCTGGCACACTGATTCACTATGAATGTAGGCCGCACCCGCTAAAGTCAGAAGCTCGTACTACATCCGGTTCGCCCGCTATTGACACAGTCTTGAAACTTTCCGATCGCACCTCGTATATCAGTAAGAATAACAGAATTAGGAACTGTTCTGGCCGATATTAAACACTCCTCCGATTAAATACATCACTTACTTTAAAGGAAGACATAATTTTAACCGAATATTCTTACACATCCATATTATGCGTTCACTTAACTGTGTATTTTACAGGAGATTTATGTCGCGTGGCCTCCATCAAATGTAATTCGACCAACAAATTTGTTAATTTAATACGAATCGATACCGTTTTCTCGATAAGCCTTCGTCATGCATAGATATATTTGCAACAGAGTGATACATACTACTAATACTACCGATTCGGGGTCTCCACACGGCAGCTCCTGAAATGAAGCGTGCGTAGGTATAACCACAGTTTCAAATTGTAGCTGCTGAGCGACTCGGCTACATTCTCGCACAAGATTGCTTCAAGTAGACTCTCGTTGATGCTTTAGCTAGGAATGTGATTTGCAGCGCATTGGTCGCGACTGGAGAAAAGTGGGACAAACTTTACTTTACATTTTTACTTTGCGTGTATAATAAAATTTTTCAACATTTCTTTTCACGCGTATAAACGAATCCGCGTTGGAAAAGGAGTAAATGCATGGTTGTAACTATATATATATGGGCCTTCACGCCGAATCAAATTACAACTGGCACTTCGCATTCTGTGAGTCGCACGAGAAGCCGGGACTGTGCAGTTTGAAAGCGACGTTTTTATTCCAAATAGTCGAAAAAACGGTCATCCACGGTGCTTAATTTCGAAAGTAACTTTTGACGTCTCATGGGCCAAACACCGACTAAAAAAGCCTTCCTCACGTTAAATTATCTTATACTGTTTAGCTGCATCTCGATAATATGTTTTAATTCGTCACAGCCGTTTCTATCGGACGAAGAAATCTTTACTGCACCAAAAGTTATTAAAACTACAATTAAGACTTATACGAGGTGCGATCGGAAAGTTTCTAGACTGCGCCTATAAAAACCCGTACACTTATCTCAGGTATTAAATTCATCCATCACCCTCGAAGTAGTTCCCCTGGGAGTGAACACAACTATCCCAGCGCCGCTGCCAAGCCTGGAAGCATCCCTGGAAATCTTTCTTTGTCAGCCTGTCAAGCACCATCTGCGATTCTGCCTGAATCTCTTCTATCGTCTCAAATCTCATTCCCTTTAGCTGAATTTTCATCTTTGGGAAGAGGAAGAAGGCACACGGCGAATAAGGAGGGTGCGGAATGACGGCCATGGTGTCTGAGGCCAAAAACTGGCGAACTTTGAGGGCGGTGTGCGCTGGCGCGTTGTCATGATGCGTCGCATGTGGAGTTCTTCCTTTAGAATCAGCTGACAGGTCCCATAGCCTATCCCAACAAGGTCGCACAAGTCGTTGATGGTACGACGTCGAGCTTCGGGAATGGCCTGCCGAATCTTCGTAACATTTTCGGGCGTTGTGCTCGAAGATGGTCGTCCAGAACGCTCGTCATCAGCGACAGAGGTTCGGCCATTTTTAAAACGTGAATGCCACACAAAAGTTTGTGCACGACCCATTGCGGACTCCCCAAATGCTTGCTTTAGCATTTCATAGGTTTCCGTAGCCGTTTTGGCGAGTCTTTGGCAAAATTTGATGCACACGCCATTCCGAAAGCGCAGGAGGGTCGGTGTAATGCACTACCAAAACACCCGTAACTAAGAAACAAATGC